AAATTCTACATATAAAACTTATTTTTAACCTTACTACTAACACTTTTTCCCTTACTAACACCCAGTAACATTTGGTGGTCACTACGAGGGCTCAACTAACCCAAACTACAAGAAAAGTCAAATCAAGTTTAAGCACACTACCTCATAAACACGAATTATAATCAAGAAACTTAAAATCTATCAAAATGAATAACAATCAAGGACAGAACGCGTTGGCTAATGTTAATAACTCAAGCGCCATACCTAGCTACAGACCCCGCCTCATAGAATTCTATGGCTATGAAGGCGAAGACTTCAGGCATTTCCAAGAAATATTGGAATCCTTCTTGGATGTCACTAACATCACCTCGGATGCAAGGAAGTTATCCATTCTCAAATCCCAATTGCGCCGTGCCGCAAAGATCTTTTACGAACAAGAAATCGTAAAAGAGAACCCTGACCTCGCTTACGACAAGGCAATCAAGCTCTTGCGTAATCAATATATTACACCAGAGCTCATACAGAGTTATGAGCTCGAATTTAATGAAATGTATCAAGGGACACAAGAACACCCACAAATATTCTTGGCTCGTCTCAGAGAAGCTGCAGAGCTTGCTAATATCAATAGCGAAGCTGTAATAGAAAGTCGATTCAGAGCAGGTCTCCTTAAGGAGATAAAACAGTTCTGTATTCAGTGTAGCTCACGCACGTTCAAGGATTGGGTAAGCCATGCTGAAGGCTGGTGGAATGCCAATAGGCCCAGAAAGATTGCCATGGTTGACAACCCCTTCATCCCAAGAAACATCAATAACGCATTGATATACCAGGATGATAATTCATGTCCTAACAGATACTCTGCATATCAACATAATGTGGAACTAATTGATAGCAATGAATACCATCCAAATTATGTACCTGCCACAGATGTTAATAGAACTATGAGAAATAACAATATACCAATCACACCTACCCAATTGTCAACAATGGAAGTCATCAAAGGAAATCGTGGTAATTATCAACAACCATATCAAAATACAGAACAAGGAAACAGTATGAGCAATCAAGATATAGTGAACCTTATACAACAGACCATCCGAGATGAGATTAATAAATCTCAACAGCAACCACAATATAATCGTCCTTATTATCGTAATAATCGCTATAATCATTACAACAAGCGAGATGATTATAACCAAAAGAAACCTCAAAACCAAAACGAAGAATATGAACGTACTCAACAGTCAAAAAACTAATGGGGTCGGCTGCTTCTAATACACAGAAGTATGGTCAGTTGAATACCCGCTATGAATATAAATCCATAAACACACCAGAACAACACAATCTAAACACTATGATCTCCGAAAACGAACATAACTATCATCGCAAATCACAGGAGCTATATGCTGCTATCAGACCCGAAAGGCCTCCCGAAGTATCAACAGCTCCTTACCCCAAAAAGAGGCCTGCCTCTAAAGATGCCCCCAAAGAAAAACCCAAAAGGGTCATCACAAGAAAAGCTACTGCAAGAAAGCATATGGAGGAGCTCAAACCTCAAAATCAAACGTCAAACGATGTACGCATTATTCACAATATTGAAAATCAAACTCAGGAAGAAATGGAAACGGATCTTCCAATTGAACCTGTAGAACAAGCGAAACCAAAAAGAAGATTCGTCAAAAAGACATCGCCTGACATAGATTATGATATTGTATCAGACGTACTGGATAAAACGGCAAATATCACCATCAGAGATCTAATCAAAGTAGCGAACCCTCTACGAAAGCAATTGAATGATGCAAGTAAAGTCAAACGTAAACCTGCAAAATCCACAGAAAACAAGAACACGGTAGCTTTCATCGAAGATGAAGACCTTAACACAACAGCAGCTTACACCAAGATACAAATAGGCAGAAAGAAGATAACTGTCTTAGTGGATTGCGGAGCAGCCAAAACTTGCATGTCAAAAGCTCTAGCAGACGAGTTAGGATTAGAAATAGATGCCCCATCACAGAGCGTATTCACCCTAGGAAATGGAACAAAACAACCGGCATTAGGAATGATTTATGATGTACCAGTAAAAGTAGCTGATAGTCTCATGATACCTATTTCAGTTGAAGTGCTACCAACATGTCCATCACACTTTATACTAGGAAATAATTGGTTCAATAGAGCAAAGGCGAGAATTGATTTCAACAAGGCAACACTCAAAGTAACATACAAGAATAAAACTGCCGAACTGGATATTACTTTCTTAAGAAAGAATGAAACGCCAAAGGTTAATAGCTACCAGCAAATATACCAAAACCCTGTAAGTATCACCAACAATAAACTAGCAAGAGACATCATAGAGGACAAAAATGAACGGAGTGACTATGAAAGTGAAGCAAGCAGTAGCGAAGAAGAAAGTGAACACTCGTCATCTTCAGATGATGAAGAAATAGAAGAAGAATTACCTGTAGAGATAAATCAAGACCAACTTCTACTATCTTTACAAGAAGAAGACGATGTCAACATTAATGTATTGCAAGACGAATACTTAATAACAGCAGGAGCTCTAGGATTCACAATACCCGCCAACGAAGTTAAATCGTTTTCTTTTCAAAAGAACATTGATGACTCAAAAGACATGAAGTATGACATCGATATTACACACACACAGATTCAGAAAATGCTTGGATACTTTGATATATCAACAGCAATGACAGAATACCGAAAAAGCATTGAAATTCGCCTATTCAACAGATCAAACACTTCTGTCAACCTAAAACCCAACGAAGAAATAGGAAGAATAAATAAATATGATCCAAAAGAAGGGCAAATAGTAAAAGGATACGATATCAGACAGCATCCAGACTTATTCTTAATGGAAAATATTGAATCATCAAACAACAACGAAGAGAAAAAATCGCTAAATTCTGAATTATCTAAACTAGACATTGGCACCCTACCAAGAGACGTTAAACAGAAGTTACGAAGATTACTAACAAAGTATAATGACATTTTTGACTGGGATAATAATACAATGGGACGTACAGATCTAATTACTCACAAAATAATAATCGATCAAGACACTCAACCTATAAGCCATCGTCCATACAGGCTTAGCCCAATTGAATCAAAATACTTAGAAAAAGAACTTGATAAATATAGCAAGCTTGGCATAATTTCCCCTTCGAATAGCCCTTGGGCAGCTCCAGTCATATTGGTCAAGAAAAAGAATGGCGAGTACCGAATGGTGATAGATTATCGAAAACTCAACGCCATCACTAAAAAGGACTCATATCCATTACCCCGCATCGATGATCTACTAGACACATTAGGAAAGGCTTCCATATTCTCAGCATTGGATATGAGAGCAGGATTTCATCAAGTACCTCTCGAAGAAGATACCAAAGAGCTTACTGCCTTTACCACCAAATTTGGTGTTTATCATTACAATACTTTACCTATGGGATTGGTAAATTCTCCAGCAACCTTCCAACGGCTTATAGATCTCTGTTTCCGCCCACTTCTTAACAAATGCCTTGTTGCATACATTGATGACTTGAATGTTTATTCCCAAAATTACCATGAACATCTGCTACACTTAGAACAAGTATTCAATTGCATCAAGATAGCACAACTCAAGTTGAATCCCGAAAAATGCTTTTTCTTCAAGGATCATCTAAAGTTCTTGGGTTACATCATCACCAAAGAAGGAATTAAAACGGATCCAGCCAAAATAGATAAAATCGCAAATTATCCCATACCACAAACTATCAAGCAAGTCAGAGGATTCCTTGGATTGGCTTCGTACTATAGAAGGTTTATAAAGAACTTTGCTGCTATTGCCAGGCCCCTCCATGATCAAACTAAGACAACAAAGCAAGTTCCATGGACAAACAAGACTACAGAAGCGTTTAACAAACTCAAGGAACTCTTGACAACATCACCAGTGCTCGCAAGGCCTGATTTCAATAAACCTTTTATCCTGGTCACAGACGCATCAAAATTAGGTTTAGGGTGTATTCTAACACAGCTAGATGAAAATGGCCATGAGCATCCAATCGTATT